ATTGTAGTTATCAACCTACAAAAGAGTCATGGTCTTTAGTTGATTGAACTAAAACCATCCCTATACGGTTAACAAGCACCTTAAAAGCTCGCTCGCCCTCCATTGGTTCAATACAAATTTTTCTTTTGTTTTATGCGTGCAACTTAGAGTCCACTCCGCGTTCTTTTCTTTTCCATTTGCCTTTGGCTCTTTTTGCAGCTACCCCTTGATCTTTTAGCTTGCTAGTGCCACCGAATTCACAGGACAACGGCACCTCCAACAATTGTGCATCAACTAGAGGTGGCAAAGCAACAAGGGGCTGCTCCGTCGCTATCTCCTAGCCGCCCCCCCACCATTATTTGTGCCATCATCCTTACTGTTCCCCTCAATTTGGCTGGCAAAGCTGTGCAAGAAATTGTTCGATTGTAAATCTTCATGCTTAGAGTGCCCTTTGTCACCCTCAACCTTGTCCTTTCTCCTTTCTTTGTTCCTTTATCACTCTCGAAGTCAAAGAGTTGTAGTAATTTTGTAAATTATTTGGGGTTTAAGGGTATTTTAGTTAATTAAAATTATGATCTTTTAGTAATTTTATAAAAATTTATAGGGTTTTTTTTGTTTGTAAGTGCCGTTCAGCATTAAAAAACAAAATATATAGAAATGGATAAGATTAAATTAATTATTAAACCCTAAGTTTTAAGTCCTTAAATAAAAAATTTTTAATACTTAAAAATATGAGTAATTAGGCTTTAATTTTTGGATGATATTGTGATGATTAAAATTTAAAATACATGGTTATGATACCCTGGAATATTAGTATTTTTTTTTATTTTAAATTGAAAACTTTTCACTTTAATTTAATTTCAAAATTTGTAAAATCTTGATCATCTCTTATATTATAAAAAATTAAGCATGTAAAATTATAAATAAAATTAACTTTAAAAATGCACCATATATGTTAAAAATTAAGCATAACAACGAGTTAAAAAAAAAAAAAGATAAAGTGAATATAGGTGGTTATAAATATTGAAATGTTATTTTCACATTAGTAAAAGTTAATCAATATTTATATTTATGTTGTATAAAAAAATTTTTGATAAAAACAAATAAACTTTTATATACATTATAAATTATAATATAGTATCATATATAATGCTTCACTTTTTTCTTTTTCTTTTTTTATATATAAACTCAATGTATTACAAATACCTTACAGAGCGTGTGGAAATACTAATCATAATGAAAATGGAAGTTGAAATTCATAGCTGTTGTGGTCAGTAAACTATAAAGCAAACCTTGACCTT